TACATATTATTTAATCCCCCTAATTTCTTTCAACAAATGAACTATAACTCCCGTAGTCGTTTCCTCGAGTCTCCGTTACGTGGGATATTGCGTACAAGTACCTGTGTGGTCCAGATCTTACTCCTCTTCCGTGGTTGCTAATCCGTGATTGGTGTTCCTTGATTCGTATTTCGTGTTCAGTGCGCACTACTCATACTATAACTACTATAGTAACACACAAATTAATTTTGTTTATCTATGGAGAAACCAGTTGATTCAAGCTGGACGGGGTCCTGTTAGACCCGGTGATGTGTGACGGTTGAGGTTTTAATCCTTTGTGGGGTACCCAGTGAAATGCGATTAGTGGGGTTAATTGAAGTTACCACGAATTTACTTGAAGTTAAAAATTTATAGATGTTCAGGGATTGTCTANTCTAGAGTTGGTCACTTTACCTACTCCGACAGTTGCGTGACCAAAAATGGTAGTGTAGTGAAGGAGATAATCACAAATATTTCTACGGCTCGAGCCGCGTAAGCAAAACTGAAGCACTGTTGGCGACGACGTGACGTTTCGTTTACGCTTTAAAGTCGCTTATATTGTGTCAGCGATTAGATATTGATGGTTTGCGGTTGTGAAACCTTCAATTAGCGATTAAAAGGTATCTATCTCCTGGAGGTTCTAGACAACCGATGACTAGGTAGTCTGTCGCATGTGAAATGGACTGCGCGGGTTAGTAATCTAGACGTAACTGGTCATGTGTTTGGGAATGTATCGAAGAAACACTCACTATCGCATCGAATTCAGCTCAGTATGCTTCGCTGGTAGCACATGTTTTGCGTATTCCTAACGGTTGTCTCCCACATCGTACTTTCTTTTAATTGCCGCTTCTTTCAGCAAAAAATTACGTTGAGACCAACAGATGACGAGGAAACAGGTATGAGGATGGTCACAGAGAAACTTATCAGATTAGGTGTTCTTTGTCTTCCTAGCTGGGGTCCAAGAGACTCTATAACTGGTTGGTTGGAGACACTGAAGAATGTGACAGGGAACCTGCAGCAGTGAGATTCTTGTTGTCACTTCTTATCAGACCAGAATGCTTGAAAAAAGTGTATATGGGCAGTTGAATTGTGTGTTGACCATTGAGGTTCGTTTTCATTCTTCCTTCCTGAAAATTAGCCTGTATATGTTGTGAGTTTGGCAGCGAACAGTGAACTTCACTTCCCTTGCATCCGCTGTGCCATGATGTTGATGAAGATGAATTTCAGTGAACTAATGTTGCAGAGAAATTGACAAGATGCACAAACGTCGCTGTTTACGACACTCAGCCAACTCACTCAGTGTCTCCAACCCTCGGTTACTATCTTCCCGAGGTCACCATCCAGGGAGCCTAACGGGACCTATGTGACCCAGACTGCTGGTCAGGGTTTCATAACCTCATGCCAGATCATAACTTGACCACCCTTGGCTTTTTCCACCCGCTGCTTGCCTCGGTGGACATCGCTTGCCAGGGCGACCTGTCTGGTGACATGCGTAACAC